TAATTACTTCCTGTTCTGGGTCTATCTTATGGAACCGATTAATAATTGGTTCAAGACTAGTACACCTTTCCCAAACCAGACCCGACCCATTGACAGCTCTACAGTTTTAATATGACTGTATACTTGACAGATGAGGCATTAATTGTCAATTTTACATTTTAAATGAGAATAGGCACATGGGAGTTAGAATAGCAGTTACTCCTATGCTGTTATTTCCCTCTTCTTTTTTGTTCTGCAACATGCAATTTTTAATTGCATAAGGATCAGGTCATCTGGACATCATTAAAGTGTGTAAGATTCATCCTAAAGAAGCTTGTACCATATTTTAGACAGTTTATTAGTAATGAATGCTATACGGAATACTCCATAATACTCTCAATGTTAGAAATGCACAATTATAACTTGACAAAAGATTTAGATGAGCTTGTCTAGCACGAATCTTCAAACAATGGTAGAGATTATCCATTTTTCTTTCAAACCCTTAGGATCAATTATATTTTCTCAATTCTGTGTTGTTATTGCAGGTTGAAATTTCTGTTTGTGAGAATGGAGGTACATATTCCACTCTTCAAAAGATGATGTAGCATCCCGTAGTTTTTAACTGACAAAGGTCTGAGCAAAATCCATATTTGAATCATCAGGAGACGACAACTTTTCAGACGAGCAACCAATGCAATCCTCTTAGTATGGATTTGCACCAGCTTTTCAGATACAATGCTAATGATGCAGATTTGTCCTGTGATTTTTCTCATGCTACTACTCCAGTGACTTCTGAATGGATGATTCGGCCCATGAAATTCAACCTAGATAGCTCCCCCGATTCACCACTTTCAACTCATTTTGACTGTGACACTTTTACTTCATTGAGCAATAGCCAGGAGCAATACAGCTCAACAGGAACAGATAACCTCTCAGGGACTAGTCATTGTAATTCATCACTTGAAATCAACAGCTCTTTCCATTGGAAAAGCCCTTCTTCTGTCCATCTGCCAGACAGTGTACAGCTCTTTTCTGGTGGGAGTTCACTCTCACAGGATGTTAATTGTGGCCAGAGCATGAAACACGTTCTACAGGAACTAGAGAATGTCCTAATGGGTCCTGATGCTGATGAAGATGAAGCAACTACTTCCAATGCAGCTTTTGAAGGGAATAAGCGCTTGCAAATCTCAACTCATAGGTCAAGGAACTGGAGCCAGGACCCTCGCCCCAGAGGGCATGTGATCCAACCTCAGCCAATTCATGCTTCCAAGAATAAGAAGTTGGACCGTGGAGTTCACGAGGAGAAACGTCGTAGAGCAGCAGACACCTCTTCTCATGAAAACGTAGAGGTTGATCTGAAGCAATTGCTGATTGAGTGTGCGAGGGCTCTCTCTGAAAACAGGACAGATGATTTCATGAGATTGTCTGAAGAGGCCAGGGCTGCTGTATCCATCTCTGGAGAACCAATCCAACGTCTTGGTGCCTACATTTTAGAAGGGCTGGTGGCCAGGAAGGAAGCTTCAGGTGCTAACATCTACCGCGCATTGAGGTGTAGAGAGCCAGAGAGCAAAGACTTGCTCTCCTACATGCAGATCCTGTATGAAATCTGCCCATACCTTAAATTTGGCTACATGGCAGCCAATGGGGCGATTGCAGAAGCATTCAGATCCGAGGACCACGTTCACATCATAGACTTTCAGATTGCTCAGGGAACACAGTGGATGACACTGATACAAGCACTGGCAGCAAGGCCGGGTGGCCCTCCTAATGTGCGGATCACCGGAATTGATGATCCAGTCTCCAAGTATGCCCGTGGCGCCAGTTTAGAGGCAGTTGGGAGGAGGTTAGATGCTTTGTCTAAGAAGTTCAACATCCCTGTTGAGTTCCACGCAATGCCAGTCTTTGCTCCCGATGTTACACGGGAAATGCTTGGTGTGAGACCAGGAGAGGCTCTTGCTGTTAACTTCACGCTGCAGCTTCACCACACACCCGATGAGAGTGTTGATGTAAACAATCCAAGAGATGGACTACTGAGAATGGTGAAGTCACTTTCACCCAAGGTGGTCACCTTAGTCGAGCAGGAGTCGAACACAAACACAACCCCATTCTTGACAAGGTTTGTGGAGACCTTGGAATTCTACTCGGCCATGTTTGAGTCGATCGATGTTACTCTTCCAAGGGACAGAAAGGAGAGGATCAATGTAGAGCAGCACTGCTTGGCCAGGGACATTGTGAACATAATTGCTTGTGAGGGGAAGGAGAGGGTGGAGCGACATGAGCTCCTGGGTAAGTGGAAGTCCAGGTTTACAATGGCAGGGTTCCGACCATATCCCCTGAGTTCTTATGTCAACTCCGTGATAAAGGGTTTATTAAGGTGCTATTCCGAACACTATACGCTAGTAGAGAAGGACGAGGCCATGCTATTGGGCTGGAAGGACAGGAACCTGATCTCGGCTTCTGCCTGGCACTGAGATCAATAGTGGATGTAGAAGTAAGAGTAGGAAATTATAAATCAATCGATCCAGATCCACCTCTTTGTTTTTTTAGATGTGCACCTTTTTACAGATTACGTGATATATATATATATATATATATATATATATATATATACTAGTAAATCAGGTATCCTTAATTTTGTTCTTATTAAATTTTAGGGACGCGCCTTCACTGGTTTATGTACCACGATGCATTTCCAATACTTTCTTCCTCTGTAAGATAAATGCTGTATCTCTACAAAATTTTGGGTTAAAACATTTCCGGATTTAAAAGTGCCTTTGTTCTTTTGAATTCGGATTACGTGTTCTTGGAGGAATGGACAATTCAAATTGTTTCGTAATGCTTGGCTTGGTTCACTTTAACTCCTTTTTTTTCTTTCCGTAGTCTCCTCAACAACGTAACAGCCTCGGACAATATTTATTTTTAGATTAAAAATCAGAATTTGACCATTGTAGAATTACGGGAAATTAAGAACAAAAGCATACAATATTTAAAACTACAATACAGAAATAAAACCCATGGTTCCTTGTAATTCTGAAGACTGACCTCAGGGAGATTGCATTATTTAGAAAGAAATAGGACTCTATTAATTACTTGAATTTTAAATATATTATACTTAAGATAGAAATTGAAAATTAACAAAAGTAACAATATGATTAAAAATAAACTTAACTTCTTGTAGAAAATAACAATTATTATTATTATTATTATTATTAAATTATGTATTCCATTTCTGTCATAAATAAAAATAATTTTTATTTTAACAATTATTTTTTTAATATGACGAATATATAACATTATAAATGTTCTCAAATGTTTTCGACAAAACTCTGACATCATGTGTTTCTTTGAAAAGTTGGATCATTGACCCACCATCTAGATAAGAAATTAGTTTTAAATTAAGGAAAATTATAGTCAAAGTCAATTGTACATTTAAAATTAGGCTACAGGTTTGTCCAAAAAACAACAAAACTCTAACAACTGGCTCACCATGTCATCGAAGGTTTAAGTGGTTGTTGCCAACATGGGACTTAATCCATATTAGACACAACAAAAGGCTTATACCGAAATTGCCCTTTAATGTTGAGTGATTGAAAAATTAAAAAAAAAAAGGTTTTTAGTTTATTTTCATGCTCCCTCCCTCCCTCTCTCTCTCTATCAATCTCCCCCTCTCTCATTCTCGGAGACATCTCTCTCTACTCAATGATTGTGTGATTTGAAAATAAATAAAAATGGTTTTTTGGTTTCTGTATTTATGTTATTTCTATCAATTTCTCTTATTCTCTGTCTATCTATCATTCTTCTTCAATCTCTCTCATTCTCTTTCTCTCCCATTCCCTCTCTCGTTCTTTTTTTTCTTACACACTTATATGGTATTAATCAGATTGTATAAAAGAACATAAGACCAATTTGGTATGGTTCAAAAATCATTACACCAATTTGATAAAAATTCATAAGAAACTCTTGGCTATGAAATTTATACCAACTTGATAAAAATTTATAACTTGATTATACAAGTGGTTGGTTCCTTTAGTTCTTTTATATGGTTTTATTAATACTGTCTAAATTTGTAAAAAAAATAAAATAAAACAAAAGAACGAAAGAAGAAATAGGAAAAAAACTAAAGGAGAACAATAGATTAAAAGAAAGAGGTTTTAATTTGGCCACAGACTGAAACTGAGAGAGTGGGAGAGATAAAAGGAGCAAGAGATCGAGAGATGGCTATGAGAGTGAAAGAGAAGGGAGGAAAATCAAGAGACATGGGGAGTGGGAGAGAAACTGAAAACCTATTTTTAATATAGGTTTTTTGCTATGTCCAATATAAATTAAGAGTCTCATGTTGATAATAGACACATAAACCTTTGATGACATGGTGGAGATTTTTATAATTTGAAATGTAGAGCTATTTGTTAAAGTTTTTTTAGTTTTTGAACCGACTTACAACCTAATTTAAAATATACTTTAACTTTAATTTTTCTTTTAAATTATATATTTCATTTACAGAAAATATATTTGTACTGCCAGTAGTTTAAACCCGGCTGTTAGGCGGATTACCACTAGAAACTGCCGCCGCTAAAAAAGAAGCGCGAATCAGAAACAATTTTATGTCGTCCCTCTCTCTCTCTCAAAGACTATAACTTCACACCACCGGCGTCGATTGAACCACCGCACAGCACCTAACCACTGGTAAATCTCTTTCTCTCTCCCTCTCTCTCTCTATTTTCAATCTCACATTTCATTTTCTCTATGTTTTCCTTAGACGACGCCAACCGGCGACGACAACCACATCTAAATCTTCAACCTAGGATCCGGTGGAGGTCTGTATTCGAACTGACATTTCATTTTGATTAGTTGCATGCTCCTTTTAATAGTTCAGTAAAGACCATAGCTTGCTATATGAATCTCTACTATCTTTCTTATTTTATAGAGAGAGAATTGGATGACGAGGAAGATGAGGGTTTGTGGTGGAAGCATCCCAGACGAAGGAGAGGTGGAAGGAGATGTGATGGCAATGTCGCCAAGATGGTTAGGGAAGAAAACAATAAAAACTTCCAAATGGTGGAAGAGAAACTGATAGGTTTTTCTTCGGTGCCTAGATCTTTGGATTTCCTTTTGTTACTGGATTTAGCCATTTCTAGGATCTAGGTTTGGGTTTTTGTGGGGACAAACGAAGATGATAGGTTAATTTCCATGTACATAAAAGTTGAAGAGAAACTAAGGAATTTACTACTCTTGCTGTTATTGGAAGCTTTCTCCATGGATTGATTAGGGTTCATGCCTTGGAGACTTCATGGTAGCTGGACAGTTTGCTCCATGAGACATTATGGCTCTTATTTGTCATCTGACCAAATTTTGACTTAATTCTACTGTATCATGGTCACATAATTTAGAAGGCTCCATTTCAGCCATACAGCCTTATTTTTGTGAAAAGGAATCCTCTTTGATCTCTTTTTGACAGATTGTAGAATGAAATAGTGGCAATTCTTACTTGGGGCTTCTGCTATCAACTTGTTACAATTAGAGCCTTCTTTTGTCAGTTACTAGAGTTGCATTAAAAATTACCATTTTATCTCTGCTTATTCTAGGAACCCTTGGATGTTAAGGCAACAGTCCAAGATTACGAGTTTTCTTTCACCTTCCTTTGGCCTTTGATCAGTGCTACATTGTTAGTGGATAACACTAGCATTTATGTATACTTAGAGAATTTTCTAAGACTGCAATCTTCCCCAGGTACATGGGCAACATCAGATGCAATTTTCTCAGCCATGTAGGGAGATTAGGCTAATTCAATTGGATGAAGCCAAGGGGTAGTGGCCTTGCCCTCTTTTTAAATGAGATGACAGAAACAGTGCTAAGTAGATAACTGCAGATATGACGGTAGTTTCTTTTGAGGCTAATTCAATTAGTTACCTTTACCTTTTCACAAAAAAAAAGATCTTCTCTAGGTAAGTTGTCCAAATAAATTAATGTCCTCTTCTTCCTCTATGTCCACATTATTTTTGTTGTTTTTGGGTTGCTGTTGGCAAAAAGGCAAAGTTTGGAGATATTGATTACTGATGGCTGATACTATAAAATTGAATGGTCTCTTTTTACTATTGATCTGGTTCAATTCTCTATCAAATGTGTATAATGAGGTATCCTGACTGGGAAGTGCAGAAAATTAAGAAGCACATCAAACCTGAAAAAGAACTGTGTTAACATGTTACTTTTTTCACAATGAACAGAAAGTATGGTATTGCAGGAACTAGCAACAGTTAAATACAAGTATAAACAAAACATGAAGATACATGAGAGTAGAAAACCCAGAGATAATAATTCATGACTTCGGGAAAAAGCTCATTGCTTTATTAATTCCTTAGTAACATTTCAATAACTCAAATCCAGAACAGAATTTTTTTTTATTTTTTTAGGGAAAAGATAAACATATATTCATTGATCAAAAGGGGGAAGGATGTACATTAGAAGATATACAAATTATCCACTTAGGAAAAAGGCTTTGAAAAAAAAATCACCCACTTAAGTATGACTGTATTGTATTTGCACTATACAAAACACCTCTTCCCAATCCAGATTTAGCTAAACCATCTGCTAACGGATTCAATTCCCTGGGAATCCATCTGAAACTGCAGTTCATTGATGCTGATAATTCTGGCATTTCATGCAAAAAGTGGGAGAGCATCCAGGGGCCAGAATCAGGATTTGTTTGCCTAATTTATGGCATTCCTAGAGTGTCCTATTGCTAGGGTGCTGATCTGCAGAGATTTTATGATTCTAAGGCTCTTTAGAAGACCATGAGTCTCTACCCCTACTGCATATGTTGTTGGGATAGGGCCACTTTACACCCAAATGATTTCACCATTCATTCAGTGTAACAGGCCTCCTATTCCAGCCTTAGGAGAAGCTTCTAGGGTTTTTCTGAAACTACCATCAAAGTTATATAAAATGTCCCTCTCCTGCCTGGGAGGAAGAGGGCCTATACCAAATCATGTACTGTGATTTTCCTGGTGATGCTAGAGCTCTTATAGTTTCACAAATTAAAACTATCCCAGTTTGTTTCCAATGCAATTTTATTTGCACTGGTGCAAAAGCTTGGATGTGCAACAATTTGAGTGAATAAAATATTGTGATCCTTTTTCTATGGTTTGTTTGCATAATTGCATTGTATATAAAGTAAAATAAACCTGAAGCAAAGTAAAACAAAACCCAAAGCAAAAGTGAACCAGAACTTTTATTCTTCTCATTTGCACTCCCTGTGCATCTATACACTGCAAATGAAATTGCACTGCAAAGTGGAAATGGAGCCAAACAGGGCTTGTTTTCCAACATGGAGATCTGGAAGGAGCTATAGGACTGAAACTTAACCACGACTGAAGTGTGGCTAGCTTGGAAAGCACTTGTTGAATACATGAGATTGGATCATCTACATTTCCCTGCTAGACAATTTACATAGCAAACCCAAACTCATCTCCATAACGGCATAACATAGATATGTTGCATGATCAAGACCTGGCCACACCACAACCAGTCAATCCAACATCAAATCCCTACACCCTGGAAAGCTACACTAAAGAAACTAATTTTTCAACACAATTGGCCAGTACCCACTGCTGTGCCCATACAACCCTTCACAGACAACATCCACTCAGATAAAGTTCCTCATTGACAAACTTTTACAGATCATGTTCCACAGGATCGCAAAACTAACCATCCCCCTGTACAGGCTTAAAAGCATGTAAAACAGTGCAAAATTTTCTGAACCCTGCATCGAGGAATACTGTAAGGAAAATGATCAAAGTAATTATGTGTTTTGAGAAATATGTTCCTGACCACATTAACTGGAGTAGACTTATACTGAGATTCTGAAACCATCAGACAAGCCTCTTGGTGGAATAGAGGGTTGCAGTTTGATGGCAGCTTGATGGCAGTTTGATGGCAGCTTTGAGAAATACTGAGATTACTTGTTGCAGTATGGTGGAAGCTTTAGAAGGTCGTTCCAGCCTCCTTCAGCTTCTGGAATAGGGGGTACTGTGAGAAAATCTACAGGAGATATCTTGTGGGCCTTTAGTTGCTCTATCCAAGCTGCAGATGCCTCAGAAGCTGAAGTCAGATCTCTTCTAGAAGGTTTAAGAGTTGCTAAGAACAACCATTTCAGTTCATTAGCAGTAGAAGGAGACTCAAGAGTTACTTTTAAGTGAGCAAAAGATTCAGATGGGGGCCATGGAAGCTAGCTCACCTCCTTTCAGAAATTCATGAGCTATCTTCTTTGCTGAACTGCTCCTTTAGATGGATTCCCTTGGAGATCAATAGAATGGCAGATGCCTTAGCAAAGCAAGGATTGGGAAGGGATTTTTTGTATAGTGCTAACTCTGCCATCTTAGTTTGATACAGGCTTTTCTTTTTGTGCTTTTTTGGCCTGTTTGTACATTCCTCCCCCCCTTTTTTTGAATACAAGTTATCTTTCCATTCAAAAAAAAAAAAAAGTGGAGGGGAGGCTTGTGGGTCAACATGTTTAGCCTATATCAATAGACCCCAAGCAGTAAATTTTGTTCATACAAATTTACCATGAGTAAATATGGATAATGGATAGACAATAATTTACCAGAAAGGAGAATTAATAAAAAAAACAATGAAACTTGCTGAAGGCATTTAATAGTTCAACCAAATAAATTCTTTGTTTATTTTCCTGGATAACACCTTATCCCCAAGGATCTGAGCAACTATTAAAAAATGTATAGGGTTCATAATTCCTAGGTCCGACCTTTCAATCAAATAAATCATAACAAGCCACTGACATTGATCTTAGTGCAGGATACCTTTCAGGCAGGATTGAAAATTCTGTAGTCTGATGCCCTCAAGAGCATAATGCACATTCCTACCATGGATTTATATTGAAACACCTAGATAATACATGTCAAGTTACAACCGATAAAAATACAGAACCAAAGCTTTCCTCTCTGAAAAATTAGGCAATATTGATTGATGTTTGGAGCTGTATGAGAAGAATCAAGTGAATGGATCTCTGCTCTTCACTAAAAATCTCTGACTAAATACCTTTCACTTGGTCCACAAGATGCAACAGAGGAAGCTCCTACTGAGTTATTAGGGATTCTATTTGACAGTGCTGAAATATGGAAACATGATTCTGTATTTGGTGCTGTTAATCAACTTGTAGCAGCTTTATGGCTTGGTGGAAGAGGGGCAAGATACAGTGCTGCCAAGCATTGGAGAGCCTGTTTTCCTCAGACCATATCAGGAATGCAGAAACTTCTCGACAAGCTATTCAACCCCTTGTCAAGATTCTTAGCACTGGCTTGGAAAAGGAGCAACATGCTGCTATTGGTGCATTGGTTAGGTTATTGTGTGAAAGTCCATCGAGATCCCTAGCTGTTGCAGATGTTGAAATGAATGTGGTGGATGTTCTTTGCAGGATCCTTTCATCAAATTGTTCAATGGAGCTGAAAGGAGATGCTGCTGAGTTGTGTTGTGTCGTTTTCAGCAATACAAGAATTAGGTCTACAGTAGCTGCAGCTCATTGTGTTGAACCTCTGGTGTCTCTTCTTGTAACTGAGTTTGGTCCTGCTCATCATTCAGTGGTCTGTGCACTCGATAGAGTACTAGATGATGAACAATTGGCTGACCATCCTCTCCATTTCAGCAACTTTGTGAATAATCCAGAGTCTTTTCTGATTCCGGATCATTAGTTGTTGGAGCAACGGAAGTGTGGTGGTAAAAATCAAAGGAAGAACCAAAAAAATCTGAAGAGAAGAGGAATATGAAATTGGAGAGAAGAAGAGAAGATGAAAAAGCTCCTGTAGAG